TTTCTCTAAGAAGGGACTGGCAGGAATCCAAAGCTTGTCTGTGCCTTTACCAAAGAGGTGCGCGCGCCTGCAACCAATCTTCCGAAACTCTCCGAGAACAGGTCTTTTCTAAGGCGAGACTGACAGGGAACCAAAGATTGTCTGCGCCACCCTGAGACCCCGCCCTATCCAAGCAGAGTACAGAAGCCCTCCTAGCTGAGACTCTGTTGATCCTCACAGCCAATTGGCTTGGAGATCAAAGCTTCCCAGTGATACCAACAATAAGCAGGGCTTAACAACAAGACTGCACACACAGCCCACAAAGGGCTACACCAAGACTGTCCACCGCAGGTAACTGGGAAGGCTGTGCTACTGGGCTCTACCAGAACATCTAGAACAGCGTTTTTCAACCGCTGTTCCGCGGCACACTAGTGTGCCGCGAGATGTTGCCTGGTGTGCCGTAGGTGCAGACAAGACAAGAATTTTATAATTTTTCACTATTTTGTTTACTTAATATTTCATAATAAAGTAATTATAAAATACTTTCTTTGTGTTTATTTGATTCCTATTCAAGAGAATTACTTTATATATAGTCAATATAGGCACAGAGTTAAATTTTTTAACATTTTCTAATGGTGGTGTGCCTCGTGATTTTTTTCATGAAACAAGTGTGCCTTTGCCCAAAAAAGGTTGAAAAACACTGATCTAGAACACAAAGCTATTCCATCAAATCAGGGAAACAACTAAAATGCAGACAAGAGGAAGGAGACAAAGGAAGGAGATGGAGGAAAAGAAAAGATTGGACATTGAGTTCAAAACTACAGTTATAAGGTTATTCAACAATATCCTAAAAAAAGGCCGATAAAATAAATGAGACCTATGAGGATATGAAAAGGGAGCAACTAGAAATAATAAGGGATCAACAAGAAATGAAGAAAATATTGTCTGAAATAAAAAATATTATACAAAGTCCTAAAAACAGACTGGAAGATCACAAGAATCAAGACAAAGATTTAGAACACGAAGAGCCAGAGGACACTCCTCTGCAGAAGGGAGAAGATAAGAGAATCCAGAAAGTTGAAGATAGTGTAAGAAACCTCTGAGACAATTTCAAGCGAAACAACATCAGAATTATGAGGATTCCAGAAGAAGAGAGAGAGCAAGATACAGAAAGAATACTGAAAGAAATAGTGACAGAAAACTTCCCTCACCTGGGGAAAGAAATAGACTTACAAGTCCAGGAAGCCCGCAGAACCCCAAACAAAAGGAATCCAAGGAGGACCACACCAAGACACATCATAATTAAAATTCCAAGAGCAAAAGACAAAGAGAGAATATTAAAAGTAGCAAGAGAAAAGCAGGTAGTTACCTATAACTACGATTACCTATAACTACCCATACGATTGTCAGCTGATTTCTCAACAGAAACCGTGCAGGCCAGATGAGAATGGCAAGAAATATTCAAGGTGATGAATAGCAAGAACCTACAGCCAAAAATAATCTACCCAGCAAAGCTATCACTCAGAATCAAAGGACAGTTAAAGAGCTTCACAAATAAAAAAAAGCTAAAAGAGTTCATCACTGCCGAACCAGAATTATATGAATTGCTGAAGGAGGTTATTTAGGAAGAGGAAGAAGATAAAGATAAAAATTATGATTAACAAATACGTAACTATCAACAAGTGAATCTAAAAACCAAGGTAATTTTAAAAATCTGATGAACAATATTAACTGGTGAATATAATAGAATCAGAGGTATGGAAGGGGTGTGGACTGACGATTCTCGGGGAAAAGGGGAGTGAGGGTGCAGGAAGAGACTGAACAAAAACTGTGCACCTATGGATGAGGACAATGGGGGATGGGGATGAGGACAATGGGGGATGGGGAACCTGGTGGAGGGGAGCAATTGAGGGGGGGGGAAGAGGATCACATTTGTAATAATCTGAACAATAAAGATTTATTTAAAAAAAAAAAAAAAGAAGTTTCCTAGAATGAGCAAGTGTGAACTTGTCTTTGAGACTGGGGCTTTTATTGCTGCTTAGCAGAAATCCAGGAAATTGCAGACCTGTGGCTGCTGCTGAAACTACTAATTTTGCTAGAGCCCACAGTTGCCAGCAGCTGCCATGGACACACCTGGCATCTCTACTATAGGAGCCCACCAGAATTTTCTGCCTCTGCAGAAACCAAAAACTAAATGATTCCTCTCTCTCTCTCTCTCTCTCTCTCTCTCTCTCTCTCTCTCTCTCTCTCTCTCTCTCTTTCTCTCTCTCTCTCTCTCTCTCTCTCTTTTACTTAGTAGTTTGAATGTTTCTTCTGTTTTAAAGTTTTTGGTCTTTTACTTTTAAAATGGATTTGCAATCTCTGCACAAACTAAATTCCAGAATCAAATTTAATGATTCTCTGTTCCCTTCACTTTTCAATAACCCATGACAATCCCTCTAGCAGAGCCTTTCAGAAAGAAGGTCTAGGAAATGCAGTACCCAGGCTTCCAGTACAGAGACGAGCTTGAGCATCAACAGATAATATTTGACACAATCCGCATTTTGCAGGTGAGCAAATAAAAACACAGAATCTGAATAACTTCTGTACAGTCACATAGTTAATAAGTGGCAGAGCTGGGATTCTAACTCAGGCCTACTTGCCCTTCATTCGTCCTTGGTGTATCCTGTTTACTCCAACTAAACCACTTTACTGTGTCATTCACTCATGTTGGACTCATCTCCACCTTTTCCCCTCTGCTTGACATGCCCTTTCAGCCTCTCTCAAGCCCTGATCAAATGGGAGAATTATCGGTTGTTAGACATGAAAGCAACCTTAAAATAGTTCCTTTCAGGCAGTAAAATTGAAAATGAAATTTTTTACTCTTTTACCCTTTATAATTCTGTATTTTAATTAATCTTTTTATAAGCATGTATTATTCTAGTAATTAGATAATAACAATGGAGATGATAGGTGATGATGATAGATAGATAAACAGATAGATAGAACAATAAACTCAACTCTTGGCATTTTTTTCTTGGGTCTTTCTGCCACAAAAAATATTCTTCAGTGATTTGACTGCAAACAAAGCAGGAACAGATACTATTGTTTGGACAATAAGTTGATTAACATAGAAAGCCCTTAACATAGGCAAGACTGTTCAAATACTTTTGATCCAATAAACTTTATTTCATATATATACATGTAAAAGAATAATGTGGGTGAGGATTCCTTACAATGTATACTTTAGGCAGGAATCATTGTTCAAGGTCCTGCTTCAATCTTCTGCACTCTCCTGATAATACACAGGCTAATTCCCCAAACTCCTGTCTATTCTCCAATACCTAAAGCACTCTCCCCCTACCTGCTTCGGACTATGCTCTCCTTAAACTCTCTAAACAGCTTGTCATCTTTTTTGCCTTTAGAGGCCCTACAGTTTTTTAAAACCTTATTTCTATGTATGTCCTCTTTCAAAAATACTTTTCTAAAGAGGACATACTGAAGGCCAAGAGATATATGAAACATGCTCAAAGTCAATAATTATCCCAGAGATGCAAATCAAAATGACATTGAGGTACCATCTCACACTTGTCAGAATGGCTATCATCAACAAATGACAAGTGCTGGCAAGGATGCAGAGAAAAAGGAACCCTGGTCCCTGCTGGTAGGAATGCAGACTGGTGCAGCCACTGTAGAGAACAGTATGGGGTTTTCTCAAAAAATTAAAAATGGAACTCCTATTTGACCCAGTAATTCCACTTCTAGGAATATATCCCAAGAAACTAGAAACACCAGTCAGAAAGGATATATGCACTCCTGTGTTCATAGCAGCACAATTCACCATAGCTAAGATTTGGAAACAACATATGTGTCCATCAGCAGATGACTGGGTTAGAAAACTGTGGTACATCTACACAATAGAATATTATGCTGCTGTAAAAAGGATGTAACTCCTACCATTTGCAACAGCATGGATTGACCTGGAGAGCATTATGCTAAGCAAAATAAGTCAGTCAGAGAAAGATAAATATCACATGATCTCACTCATGTGTGGACTATAATGAACAACATAAACTGATTAACAAAAACAGATCCAGAGATAGAGAAACATCGATCAGATAGGCAAACCTCAGAGGAAAGGCAAGGGAGGGTGGGGGGAAGGGGAAGAGATCAACCAAAGGTTTCATATAATCATAACCAATGGAAACAGACACTGGGTGTGGTGGTGAGGGAAATGGGGGGTGGGGGGAAATAAGGACCCATATGTAATACCTTAATCAATAAAGAAAAAAAAAAGAAAATCACAAGACACAATAAGAGGGAATAGAAAAAAATCAATGGAAAAAATCCTCAGGTAAGGATTAGCAATAAATAAATAGAAAAAAACCTTATTTCTACCTTATCTTATTTCTACCTTAAGACTTTCCTAGATTGTCCCAGGCAAAATATACTGTTACCTAGTTAAATATACTTATGTTCTACTATTTTATGTCTTTGTTTACACTATTATAGCCTGAGTTGTATTACAATTTTTTGCGTGTATGGGTGCATATTTCTACTAGATTGTGAATCTCAAGAAATAAGAACATAGTTTAATTTATCTGATTTTGTCATGGCACATTTCTTTACACATGTTAAGCATTTATGAGATGTTATTTGAGATTCATTACATGGGGTTGTGCAGGTCATTCCTCCCAACCATTCCCAACCTCCACCCCCACATACCCCAGAGTTTGGGGAATTAGACTGTGTTTTATGAGGAGAGTGCAGAAGATTGAAGCAGGACCTTGAGCAATGATTCCTACCTATTAATCAACTTGTTGGCATATATTCATAGAAGTGTGATTCCTGGCTCAAAACAAAACAAAACAAAAGCAAACATTTAGAAAGTGAGTAGCTTATGAACAAAGTATTCTCTTCCTAACAATGCTCTATCCTGCAGAAAACTTCTGAGAAGTGTGCTCTCCCACTTCTGTTTATTACTTTTCTTATCTGATAACATTTAGAAATGACTCATTTTGAAACACTTCCTGGAAAGTCAAATAGTCAAATAGTTGTTTATCAATCTAAAGGAAAAGAGAGGAGAAAGAGGAAGAGCTCAGCAAATTTCCTATACTTCATGACTCTATGAGGACCGGACAGACAGGACTCGGAGGGCTCCAGTTCGGTGCTAAAGTCTTCAACTACTGTCTCAAGTTTCTGGTAAGAAGCCCTAGACCCCCTTGATGAGTTGAGCCTAGTTTGTTTTGCTTATTATACATGATGATTGGAGGGTCATTATCTTCTCTTTCCCCTTATTCCTTCCCAGCTTATATATCTTTTATGTTCTCCTCATGTACACCTTTCTTCTTCTAAATATTCCACATTCTATTTATCTTCAATTTTAATATATTCATTCTGAACTATTAGTGAATTTTTATGTCATTTACCCCCCCCTCTTAAATCAGCTATGATTCGCCTTCTGACTTTTGATTTCCATTTTCTCCAAAAGTTTTGTTTTGCAAATCCTTGAATATATGCATATACATATTTTTATTCTATTTCTCTTTTATTTTTATTTGTCCTTTTTCTTATTCCTTCTTGCAGACTCTTTTCCTATCACCAGTATTTGACTCTGGAATCTACTAGTCCTATCATAGTTGAATTTTAGTTTCAAATTTTACTTATCTTTTTAGTTACTGACAGTCAACTCAGTATTTAAAGTAAAATAAAGAAATTCTCTATTTATCTTTTTTTATTTAAAAAATCTTTATTGTTGCAAGTATTACATATGTCTCCTTTTCCCCGAATTGAGTTCTCCCCAGCACTTCTACCCCCCAGCACATGCTCTCCACCCCTACTGTCTGTGTCCATTGGTTATGCTTATATGCATGCATACAAATCCTTTGGTTGTTCTCTTACCCCTCCCCCACCCTTCCTTGCCTTCCCTCTGAGGTTTGACATTGTTTCTATGTCTCTGAATCTATTTTTGTCCATCAGTTTTACTCCCTATCTTCCATGTAGAGGTAATTTATAGTCAAAACACTTGGAGAGTCATAAAAAGTGATCTTATTCTGAAAAACTTTAAAACCATTTTTTTAAATATGTTTTATTGATTCTTTACTGAGAGGAAGGGAGAGGGATATAAAGTCAGAAACACGAATGAGAGAGAAACATCAACCAGCTGCCTTCTGCACACCCTCCACCGGAGATGTGCCCGCAACCAAGGTATATGCTCTTGACCGGAATCAAACCTGGGATCCTTCAGTCTGCAGGCCAACACTCCATCCATTGGGCCAAACCGGCCAGGGCTAAAACTCTTTATTTCAAGACAGATAATATGTGATATTTTAAAAAGCTCAGACTGGATGACTCAGTTGCTTTATATTGGAATTTTGCTTTTGTCAGTCTTTAATACTTCAGTCTGTGCAGTTCTCAGTGCCTTTCCCTTCGTTAACAATACCAAAGGCATCTCAGTTATTTTATTTTTGTCCTAAGAACTTACATGCAGCCCTAGCTGGTTTGACTCAGTGGATAGAGCATTAGCCTGCAGACTGAAAGGTCCTGGGTTCACTCCAGGCAAGGGCACATGCCCAGGTTGTGGGCTAAATCTCCAGTTGCAGGGGGGAGGAGAGGGAAGGAAGGTGCAGGAGGCAGCCAGTCAATGATTCTCTGTCATAATTGATATTTCTATCTCTCTCCCTTCTTCTCTCAAATCAATAAAAATATATTTTTAATTACATAATAAAAAATAACTTACATGCATATATGTATAGCCCAGGATACAGACAATAGTGTGGTGAAGACCTGGTTGGGGGCAGGAAAAAAAGGGGGATATCTGTAATATTTTCAACAATAAAGATAAAATAAAAGTATGTACTAAATAAAAGATGAACATGGTGGATGATGCATATGGGTAGGCTAAATAGCCATCTCAGATGGTGATTAAAGAAAATTGAATTTAGATGACTGGGTCAGAAAACTATGGTCCATCTACACAATGGAATACTATGCTGCCATAAAAATAAAGGATTTCTTACCATTTGCAACAACCTGGATGGAATTGGAAAACATTATGCTAAGTGAAATAAGCCAGTCAATGAAAGAAAAATACCACATGATCAAACTCATTTGTGGATGATAAAAAGCATTATAAACTGATGAACAAAAAGATAGATGCAGAGGCAGTTAAAGCATCAAACAGACTGTCAAATTATAGCAGGAAGGTTAGGGAGAGATGGGGGAGATAAAAGATCAACCAAAGGACTTATATGCATTCATATAAAAATAACAACAGATGCAAAACATTGGGGGGGGGGCATGTCTGGGAGTGGGGGGAGGCAATGGTAAGATATGAACACATATAACACCTTAATTTAAAAAATGCTCAAAAAAATTGAATTTATTTAAGGGAAGGGGATGGGGATAGGATACCCAAAGGGGGATAGGATATCCAGCCACAGGGACGTTGGGTGGATGATGGCTGCACCCAGGAGCTGAGGTATCATCCTTATACTTTGTCATTGGTGGGAAACTTGTCATCAGTGGGTCTGGTGGCTGAGGTGGTGGCTCGGAATGCGGATGGAATGCAGGTGTGTGACCAGGTGCCTTCAGGACAGTTTTCATTCCTTGTATGCTCTGACTCCTGGTGTCCAGCAAGTTCTTCCTGGTCTTTTGTTCTCCTGTGGCAGGAAGCTTACAAATGGCTGTTAAGGATTGTATTGTCCTACAGGCCTAACATTTCCTTCTTCTATTTGTTAACAATTATTCTTAACTGGGTCAAAGGTTTCTATCTTCAGTCAGTCATCCTAAGGAACCAGGCCCCCTGATGCTGTTGGTGGAGGTGGGGGAAGATATATGAATAAAGTTACCTCACATATCAGAAACTAACCAGCTGGCAGCTTAGCATGTCCATTACTGTAAGGAAGGGTGAAACTATCAGAACAATTCATGTAGTAGTTGTTAGATACCGAAAAACAATAACTAGAGCACCTAGTAAAAGTCCGACATTCGCCAGAGGGAGCTACTGCAGCAACCCTAAGAGCAAACATTCCTACGTCCTTTTCCAGGGCAGTGGGTCCCAAAGCATAACAGTCCCTGTACGTGACGTTCTTCCCAAAATGAATAGAATGAGAATAATTCTGTATATTAGCAATAGGTGTCCCAAGTCCTACCAGGCAAGATGGAAAGGACCATTCTGCATAGGTCCCTCCTTGAGGTGTTCCCTGGGTTCAGTCACCCATTCTTCCCCCCACTTTGGGGTGATGGATTCTGGGCTTTACCCCTGCCGGCTTCAGAGTAGTTGGAGTGGTGAGAAACACGCCCCAGGGTCCTGTTCATGTTGATCGTCCATGTTTTGAGAGGAGCTCTGTCTCCTGCGAAGAAGGACTGGGTTGGGGCGGGGGTGGGGGGGGAAGATACTGGCCTAGGACTTGAATACCGTTATAAACTGCTTTTTAATGAAAAGGTTTTAACTTCAGACTATCCTCTGTGGTTACTTTAGGTCTATGAATTTTCTGGGCTGCCATGCAGGCCTTCCTTGAGTTAGTCAGGTTAGCATGTGGCCCCTTTCGTCCACAAAAGGTATAGCTTTATGGTGACAATTTTATTAAAGGCTGCTGATTGAACTTAAAGTGATTTTTATATTAAATATTTTGTCTAGACCATAGGATTCTATTGAAGTTGTGTATTTAATTTCTTTTTTTATATATTAAAGTTCAGTTTCCATGAATATTTTTTTAAATATATTTTATTGATTTTTTACAGAGAGGAGGAGAGAGAGATAGAGAGCTAGAAACGTCAATGAGAGAGAAACATTGACCAGCTGCCTCTCGCACACTCCCCATCGGGGATGTGCCCGCAACCAATGTACATGCCCTTGACCGGAATCGAACCTGGGATCCCTCTACCACTGAGCCAAACCGGTTTCTGCATGAAGTTGTGTATTTAATTTCTGTAGGCCAATAAAGCATTATGCCCTCGTAGTGCGGTCCAAACATTACACATAATGTACAGACAAATACCTGAAGACCATGAACAACCAGCATTTCTTAGATTGACATTTATGAACACACTTGAAACACACTCACTTCAAGAAACACACCTTCAACAAAGCACTAGACATTGCATCAACAGCTCCAAATTTACTTTATAGAGTTTCTGTAACAAAAGCTAAAATCAGGTGAACTTAAAACTTGTCTAACAGTAATGTTTTGAAATTTCATGCTATTTTAGAATATCTAAATGTTTATCATTTAACTCAGCAATGCTCCAAAGTTTTTAAGTTACCAAAGGCTTTGGAAAGTATGTATAGGCATATGAGGCTGGAGAAAAGGTGGGGAGGGGTGGAGCAGGCCCCGCTGCTTTTCCCAGGCCTCCAGCAGTTTGGATTTAAAACTGCCACGTTTTTTCCTTAGAGATAACATGCTAAATTGAGTGATGATAGTAGCCAGTTTTGCAGTAAAGGACGTTGCTCTTTGGGAAGGGAGATGGCAAGAAGGCAAAATTGGGGGTTCCGTGTGGTTTTGGGGGGTTTGGTGCGGAGGCATAAATAATAGGACAGGAGAAGCCGAGCTTAGGGTGGTGATGGAGCTCAAAGAAGGCCTGGACATAGGGAATCTCTGACCATTTGCCTAGGCAGTGGCAATATAAATCCAGTTGGAGAATGGGGGATAATTAACAGTGCCATCCTGAGGCCTGATCTCCTGATGTGCAGTCATGTGCCCTAGCTGGTTTGGCTCAGTAGACAGAGCATCAGCCTGTGGACTGAAGGGTCCCAGGTTCACTTCCGGTCAAGGGCACATGCCTGGATTGTGGGCTCCATCCCCACTGTGGGGCATATAGGAGGCAGCCCATCAATGATTCTCTTCCATCATTGATGTTTCAGTCTCTCCTTCTCCCTTCTGCTCTGAAATCAATAAAAATATATTTTTTAAAAATAAATTAGACAATGTGTGGCCATGCTGTATTGCAATAAAAAGGAAAAAAAAAGAAAAGAAGCCGAATCCGGTTTAGCTCAGTGGATAGAGCGTCGGTCTGCGGACTGAGGGGTCCCAGGTTCGATTCCGGTCAAGGGCATGTACATTGGTTGCAGGCACATCCCCAGTGGAGGGTGTGCAGGACGCAGCTGGTAGATGTTTCTCTCTCATCGATGTTTCTAGCTCTCTATCTCTCTCCCTTCCTCTCTGTGTTAAATCAATAAAATATATTAAAAAAAAAAAAAA